CAAGGCTATGCGGAGCAAGCAATATGAAGGGTGAGTTTAATGGCTTGAGATCTTTGATTTTAAAAGAAAATAGCTCTGCATATTATGTTCATTGTTTTGCTCATCAACTTCAATTGGTTGTTGTGGGACTTGCAAAAAAACATCATGATGTTAAGAACTTTTTTGATATGGTAGCTACTTTGTTGAATGTGGTTGGAGCTTCTTGTAAAAGAAAGGATATGATTCGAGAAGCCCAACAAAACAAAGTGAAAGAAGCCATTGGTAGTGGTGCAATGCAACAGGAAAAGGGCTGCATCAAGAGATTTCTTTGCACAGAGCAAAAGAAAAGGTCACCAAGTTACATCTTATATTGATCCGAGGCGGCCCAGAGCAACAGAAAAGGTCACCAAGTTACATCATTACTTGGTGAATTGTTTTTACACTGTTCTTGATATGCAACTTCAAGAATTTAATGGTCTCTTTAATGAAGTCAACTCTGATTTAGTTATTTGTACGGCTTCGTTAAATCCTGCTAACTCGTTCCATGAGTTTGACCCCTCAAAGTTGATGAGATAGACTGAGATTTATCCGAAAGACTTTAGCTCCATGGATCGCATAGCTCTTGAAGATCAACTTGGAGTGTACATTAATAATGTTCGAAATGATGGAAGATTTTCCAACCTAAAGGATATCGGTGATCTCGCTCGAGTTATGGTGGAAACAAGATACATCTTTCGCATCCATTGGTGTATAAACTTTTGAAGTTAACTCTTACTTTGCCCATTGCCACTGCAACTGTCGAGAGAAGTTTTTCGGCGATGAAGTATGTGAAGAATTATTTGCGAAACCGAATGAGTGATCTTTTTCTAAATGATCTCTTGATTTGTTATGCAGAAAATGATTTGCTAGAAAATGTTATAAATGAAGTAGTGATCGATCGTTTTCAGAAAATGAAAACTCGTAAGGAACAATTGTAAGATATGACTTATGCGTACTGTGAAGGCATTTTGTTTTAGAATTATTTTTTTTTGTTAATTATATGGTGCCCCCATTATGTAATCATCCTGGATCCGCCATTGTGTACAGAGCGACTCTTAAGGCGGCTGTGTCGCGTAGCTCATCAATCGTTTCCAAGGCCTCCCTTTGTAGCTCGTTGTTGGTACTCTCGTCGTACGTGTCGACCCTTCGCGAGCCTGCTCCATCTTCGACCGGTATCACGGCGTCCATTCCATAGACCAAGCTAAATGGTGTTTCCCTGGACGTGCTTTGAGGGGTTGTCCTGTATGACCACAACACCAAGTCCAACTCATCTACCCATGCGCCCGATGCCCTTTCAAGCCTCTTGTTAAGTCCTTGCACAATGATTCTGGTAGCAACCTCGACCTGCCCATTAGCTTGCGGGTGCGCCACTGCAACAAACTTCTGCTTCACTTTCATCTCCTCGCACCACGATCTGATTTTTGACCCATTGAACTGCGTGCCGTTATCCGATATCAACGTCCTCGGAATACCATATCGACAACAAATATTTGAGAATAAGAAGTCGATCACTCTCTTCTCGGTTATGGTAGCTAACTCTTCTGCTTCGACCCACTTGGTGAAATAGTCTATCGCGACCAGCAGCCACTTGCGTTGCCCCGTTCCTTGTGGTAGAGGCCCTACAATGTCAATTCCCCATTGTGCGAAGGGAATAGGGGTCGACATCGGTATCATCTCCTCTGCAGGCCTATGCGTGGCCACATCGTACCTCTAGCAGGGCCGACAGGCTATCACCATCTTTAGTGCATCGGCGCGCATGGTAGGCCAGAAATACCCTACCCGCAATGCTTTCCCCACGAGCGCTCGCGTTTTTATGTGGCTGCCGCAACACCCCTCATGTATCTCCCGTAGCACATACCCTCCCTCTTCGATCGAGACACATTTGCGGTGAGGCCCTTCGTGTGCCTTCTTGTAGAGATTATCCCCTTCTAAGAAAAACTTTGAGGCCCTGCGCACCAACTTTTCCGCGGAATTTCTATCTTCCGGCCGCTCTCCTCGCGCCAACCAATTCCTGATTTCTGCTCTCCAATCGACTCTCTCCTCTACTGCCAGGACTTGGTCTATTGAGCTCTGCTCCATCTGCAGTAGGGTTATCGATCTAGAGCTGCACTCCGCCAATGAGTTGGCCATCTTGGCGAGCAAGTCCGCTCGGGTGTTCTCGCTCCACGGTACTTGGATGATTTCCCACTTGGTAAAGCCTTTGAGCAGCTCGTGCACCTTGTCTACATACTTTCTCATCCGGTCCTCCTTTATCTCGAATTCTCCTTTGATTTACCCCACTACGAGTTGTGAGTCCGAGTGCAATTGAACCTGTTGACCTCCTGTGGCTAAAGTGAATTGGATGCCCTTCATCATCGCTTCATATTCGGCCTCGTTGTTCGAGGCGTGGAAGTTCAATTTTACCGCATACTCTAGTCGGTCTCCCTCCTGCGTGGTTATAACTACTCCGACTCCTGCTCCTCCCATTGCGGAGCTGCCGTTCACGTGCGTTTTTCACATCCCCAGTTCTCCATCAGTGGTTAGCTCTCGAATGAAATCTGCTAAGGCCTGCGCTTTTAGGGCCCTTCGAGGCTCAAGTACTAAATTATATTCGCCGAGCTCCACTGCCCACTTGGTGAGTCGACCAGACACTTAGGTCGACCCAGTGTATCTCCCAATGGCATGTTAGTGGTTCAAGAAATACGGCCTTAGCTTTCGGATTGTGATGATCAGTGCCAGAGCGACCTTCTCTATGTCTGAGTATCGCACCTCCGCGCCTTGCAATAATCGGTTGGTGTAGTATATGTGCCTTTGGTGTCGATCTTCTTCCTTTAATAGGACTGAACTGACCGCCACTTGCCCCACGGATAGAGACAACACCAGTTCATCTCCCGGCTCCGGCTTCGACAAGAGGGGCAATTATGCTAAGAACTCTTTGAGACGCTCAAAGGCCTCTTGTGCGGCCATTGTCCACTCGAACTTCGCTCCCTTGTTCAGGGGCTTGAAGAATGGGAAACCTTTCTCGGCTGCTTGGTGTTGTAATAGTTACCGGAGAACAATCAAAAGATTTGAACACCGGGTCGTATCGCAAAGAAGGTTAGCCGGATTAATTTGCGCGAATATCCAATCACACAAGAGAAAATAGTCCTAACACTCTAATCAGATTGATTTAGTTCAATTTATCGACTACGAATTATAAAGCTAATCCTAACTTTACAAATCTCCCAACTCCGAACACGAATTCAAATAGTAATAAAGGAGGCTAGGGTATCGGGGATAATCGTTTCCGGTTCTCAAAACATTTAACGGGCAATCAATTACTCGGCCAAAGGACTCGAAAAACTAACTCATCTAGAGATTCATTCTCAATATCTCACGAAACAAGAGAATAAACATAAACGAACAATTATCGAGCCAATCAACACATAGACAATACGTCAACGAACAAGCCTATTCTAAACGAGCCTAGATCGATCGATTTCTCCCCTTTCGGTTTTAAAATCGATTAATTAGATTGAGATGGTGATCAAGCATCTAAAACCCTAGGTTAAGCACAACTCGAAAAGATTGAGCAATTATCAAGCATGTAAACGAGATCGAACCGGAACAACAATCCTCTAACCCTAGCTAGAGAATTCAGCTACTCATAGTGATCTCAACACAAACATTCATATCAAACAAAGCCATGACATTCATGAATGAAATGAAAATAGAAGCTTACGATTAATACAAAGGTTCAACGTCAAAATCCGAGTGCAAAACGAATCCGAAAATAACAATCTTGGAGTTTTTCACTCTCCAAGATTAATTTCTACCAAAAACTAAGAGAAAAAGTGTTCTGGAGTTCAAAGTACGAGAGAATATCCAAAACCTAGGAAGAACATCATGAAAATCAGATCTGAAATCCATGCTTAAATTTCTGCACGTCGCGACCTCCGCCGCTGCGGAGAATCCCGCGGCCCGCGGCGAAGAAAGTCCGCGGCCATGACCATACCCGAGGCCGCGACATCCACAGGACAGAAAAGGGACTTTCGGGAACCTCGCGGCCGCGACCTCTCCTCCGCGGCCGCGATGAAGGATTTCCTGCACAGCAAAATGTTCTCGGGTTCGTGTTCTCGCATCCGGACTCGGAATTTAATCCCGTCTTTTCCAATTCGACCCCAACTCATCCATCTAGATGGTAATCCTCGCATGGCCATGCACTGCGCTACCTATCCTGCACATCACCACCAAAAAGAAATACGGAAAACCGAGAAAAACGAACAAAAAGACCAAAAACAAATAAAACAAAAGAAATGCACGAAACGACTCAAAATGGACCAAGAACCAAAGAAAAATACCTAAGGAGAGGAAAAATAAGCATAAAATAAACAAGAAAAACATGACGAAAGTGGAACGAACAACTCCCCCACACTAAAACCTTTGTTCGTCCAAAGAAAATAAAAGAACACAAAACAAGCAAACGAGAGTGGGCAGTGGTTTCAAACAAGAAAAGTCTCAAATTGATCAACTAAGTTTAAAATAATTCTGATGACCACAAGAACACACCTTGACCATGAACTCAATCACTTGATAACACTAACTCTCGAGTACAAAGATATGATATAAATGCCTCACTCAATTTCTCCCAAAAATAAACGACAAGAGCACTCAAATTGGTCGTCAGTCAAATCAATCATATGCTTGCCTATCGTCTAACCTCTACTCTAAATCAACCAAATTAATGAGACAGTGAATCAAGAGGACTTCTAGGGACGTAATGTAGGCTTAATGGATCGGGTAAGATAAATATAGGTCAATTGGCTAAAATATAAAACATCACAACTCAAACACTCGACCATATCAACAACTCCTCCGGCCTCAACCTGTTTCTCCAACCTTCACCAAAGCCAACATGCTTCCACATTATTATAACTCTTTTTTTTTGTTTTTTTTTTCTTTTTTTTTAGAACCTTACGGACATTTTATCTAGGTTCAGCCATCGGGTTTTCTGCCCGAGTCTCCTAGATCGGTTTCTCGTACTCGTTACTCGAGACCGCTGACTTAGCGGTTGAAGCACTTAGAGTATAATCCGTTCAGTTGTTTTTTTTTTGTATGCGATACCACAATTCACAATTGCGACAATCATCACCACCGATTTTCCAAACATCATCAACACGGGGTCAACAACGAAAATAAGAATTACGGCTCAAAGGGGTGACTAGCGAAAATTATTCTCGAATGAAGAGAAAGGATACACAAATAACAAGGAATGCCTCAATCATGATCACCTATCACAAATTCAATCGACTTATTTCAAAGCAGACTCAAAGCAAGTTCTGATTTATCAACGTTCAGACCAATATCTGACAAGAAATGAATATGGCTCAAATCTCACCGGGTATATATATGAGTGATAATCAAAGCAACCAAGCCACACATCAAAATATGCCACTCAAGATCATCATCACATCTTCCCAACGTCATCAAACAACCATAAACCAATCTCGAAATTTACCAATGTCCATCTCAAAAGAACAAATAAACCTAAACTAGACTGGTCCATGAAATAGAAAAGAAAATAAAAGCAAACTAAAAAGAAAACCTAGACCTGATCCACCACATAGTCACATAAGCATGTAAAACTCCCCCGCACTTAAAATCAGAAAATGTCCCCATTGTCGAGTCGCGGTGAAGGAGAGTTCGACCATATAATAAACCAACGCAAAAACAAAGAAGCTATACACAAATAAAAGAGAAAGAGAAAAAGAGAACATACAAAGCACAGTGACAAATCACCGTGCAGCCGGAGGTGATGGTGGCGGGTAAGGCTGACTGGGTCCCGAACTCCAACGGGTGTCCCACTGAGTGAATCTCTGATCCCAACTGTCCATCCGAGCATCTTGCTGGTCTTGTCGCTCGCGAATGGACCGGAGACCGCCAGCGAAGATATCGAAGTGCGTGCCCATTTGAGTCCAGTGGGTTTGTTGCTGGGTCTCCCAATGGTCCCACTGAGTCTTCTGCTGGGTCTCCCAGCTGGTCCACTGTGTGTTCTGTCGGCTCTCGAGATCGGCCCATCTGCCGTCCTGGGCATCAAAGCGATCGTGGATAGAGCGAATGTCGGCTGTATACGGAGTCTGAAATGTGGTCCACCATTCTGGTGGTTGCTGTGGAGGGATCTCAGGCAGTGGGTTCAGGGTTGGTGTCCACGCGGGTGGAGGCGGAAGGAAATGGTCAGCGTCGACATTCATCTGCTCATGCTCGTCTCCCGCCGTCGGTTGCCGAGACGACCCTGCCTGATCGGAGTTAGGCTGATCCTGCTGGAGCTTTTTAAAATAGGTGTTGTAGGCATTGCGCTTCGTATACTCCTGAGCTGTTGTCCGGTTCTTAATATAGTTAGCCTGCTTGAGCTCATTAAAATTGATACATTGCATCTCAGACCTGTCTTGAAGCCCAATCTGTCCATGTAAATTGTAGGCTTCTGGATTGATTTCGAAGTGGCGGGCGAGTGCGGTAACAAAATGCCCAAGTGTCGGTATTCCATGCCGAGTGAGGGCAATCTCCTGTAAGATGTTCTGTAGGAAAGTCATAGAACACACTCGCACTCCTGCCCGCATCGCCCATAGGAGAAAAAGCTCGACCTCACTGACTTTATTCGCCTCTTTTTTCCTGGAAATATTATAGCAGATGAACTGATGCATAACGGTAGTGGCTAGGTCCTGGATAAGTCCGTTGGACATGCCGGCGGAATCCCAAGTCGTATGCGGGGAAAGCTCGGCCCAACTCTTCTTGGCGTTGAAATTGATGGCCTTGCTTCTCGTACCGGCTATGGTGAACCCGAAAAATTTCTTCATCACTGCATTATCCACCGTAAAATTCTTCCCCTTAAGCCGACAAGTGAAGTATTCGTTCCCATTGGCGAGAACGAATGAGCTGAAGAACTCAAGCATAAGGATTAGATGTGACATCTCCTCAATCTTGGCATACTCGGTTAAGTTTAAGACATTGAGGTACTTCATCACGTCCTCCAGAATGCCCAAGTCGTTCAAGAGGTCCCAATCTACCGCCTTCGGTCTCACTACCTCTTTTTGCGAGAGACGGGCATAAAATTCGCCCTCTTTCGTAGAATAAATTGGGAACGGAGCACCGTATTGGTCCGAAAGGTCATCTCGGTCACCTTCCGGAGGGGCATCTCGAGAGGAGGATTCGCCCGCTTTGCGCTTCTTAGCCGGTTCTTGAGTGGTTTTCTTCTTGGTGGGACGAACCGGAGTCTTGCACATTTGAACGGTCTATCGGGCAATATGTCGAACACGTGGCGTGCGGTACTTTGAACTAAAGAGCTTGTGAACAATTCGAGATTGTAAATCCCGCAGCAGCCTCCTCACACCTCAACAAACAACGCACTTCAAGTAGAGTAAGGTATCGTACCTTTGTGCGACAGGTCGGGTCAGAAACGGACAAACCACGATCTAGGTATGAAGAACAAGTGTTGGACGGAATTTGTACCGCTGGGGCTCGTGGTCGGAGGTCACCGGATGACTGAGGAGGGGACGGCCGGAGAGACTTGCCAGAGCTAGGGTTTGCTCGTTCACAGTCTCAATGTTTTGTAAAGTGAAGTTATGGCCGAAAGTCCGCATAAAAGGCTTTCAATCGCATCTTCCGCGGCCCGCGATTTTCTGTGGGTCGCGAAATTTTTGTTCGCCGCGGCCGCGACTTCTCCCCGCGGCCACGAGATTTTTTAAGCTGGACTTGAGACCTCTGGACCTAAAAACATCGCCGCGGCCTCGGTGAAGAAATGTTTCGTGGCCGCGACCCTCCTCCGCGGTCGCGAGAAACCTCCGAGGCCGCGAAAAATTTCCTGCAGAAGTTGATATCTGGGACCCAAAATAATACTCGCCGCGGCCGCGCCTAAGAAAAGCTCCGCGGCCCGCGGCGACAATTTTTTTTTTTTTCAATATATATATATATAAATACTAATATATATATATATATATAAAATAAAATAAAACGAAATATACAGCAGTACAAAGGATACTCGTTTATTGCCGGGAGCTCGGCACACTTTCACGATCACGCATAAGCTGGGTCGCCGAGACTCAACATCTCGACATGACACTTCCCGAACTCTCCTTCGAAGTAAGGCTTCACTCGTTGCCCGTTCACCGTAAATAGCTCGCTATTTGCTGGATTCTAGAGTCTGACGGCTCTAAAACTCAGCACGTCATCAATAATATATGGGCCACACCACCGGGATTTGAGTTTTCCAGGAAATAGACGAAGTCGAGAGTTATAGAGAAGGACTTGCATGCCCGGTACCAGCTCCTTTCGAACAATGTGAGCATCATGGAGTCTCTTCACCTTGTCTTTGTAGATTTTGGCATTCTCATATGCCTCATTCCTCCTTTCTTCCAACTCCGAGAGTTGCAACAACCGAGCTTTACCGGCGGCGTCCAGGTCAAAGTTAGTCTTCTTAATCGCCCACAAAGCCTTATGTTCAATTTCCACCGGTAGATGGCAAGCCTTCCCATAGACTAGTCTGAATGGACTCATGCCCAAGACGCCTTTGTATGCTGTTCGTTGAGCCCACAACACATCATCAAGCCGGCTCGACCAATCATTCCTTGATGAGTTGACCGTCTTCTCTAAGATGGTCTTTATCTGCTTATTGCTTGTCTCCGCCTGGCCCGAGGTTTGTGGGTGATAGGGAGTAGCCACTTTATGTGATATACAGTACTTCTTCATCAGCTTCTCGAAAAGCTTGTTGCAAAAGTGCTTCCCTCCATCACTCACAATTGCTCTTAGGAACCCAAACCTACTCAATATATACCCTTGCACAAACTTGATCACGATATTAGCATCACATGTCTTTGTGGGGATAGCCTCAACCCACTTAGACACGTAATCTACGGCAAGTAAAATGTACTCGTAGCCATTAGACTTAGGAAATGGTCCCATAAAATCAATGCCCCAGACATCAAAAATTTTGACTTGAAGGTTATTAGTCAAGGGCATCTCATTTCTGCGACCTATATTCCCAGTTCGTTGGCATCGATCACAAGAGTGACAAAAAGTATGAGCATCTTTGAAAAGTGATGGCCAAAACAAACCTGATTGTAGTACCTTAAAGGCGTCTTCTGGCCGCCATAGTGGCTTCCACAATGGAACTCATGGCAAAATGTGAGGACATCAGTTTGCTCCTCTTCTGGAATACATCTCCTAAGCACGTCGTCCTTCCCCATCTTGAAAAGGAATGGCTCGTCCCAGAAGTAATCCCTGCACACAGAAAGAAAATGCTTTCTCTCTTGGGAAGAGAGATCAGGCCGCAGTTTACCACAACACAAGTAATTCACAATGTCAGCATACCAAACACTTTTCGACACTTCATGCGCATGCTCATAAGGAAAATTGTCATTAATAGAATGATGCACAATCAATGAAGATGATGAGTCAGATGGTACTATGCGTGACAAATGATCAGCTACTACATTCTCAGAACCTTTCCTATCTTTAATATCAACATCAAACTCTTGCAACAACAAGATCCACCGGATGAGCCGTGGCTTAGAATGAGCTTTGCCCAAAAGGTACTTCAAAGCCGCATGGTCCGAATGAATAGTCACCTTAGAACCCAAAATATAGGATCTAAATTTTTCTAGAGAAAAGACCACGGCTAGAAGTTCTTTCTCGGTGGTAGTATAATTATGTTGGGCCCCATTAAGAGTCAAGCTAGCATAATAAATCACTCGAAGCAACTTATCAACTCGTTGACCCAAAACGGCGCCCACTGCAAGATTAGATGCATCACACATGATTTCAAAAGGAATCAACCAATCAGGGGCAATAACGATAGGGCCACTCACAAGCTTTCTCTTTAATTCATTAAAAGCATTCAAACAAGCATCATAAGAAACATATGGCACATCTTGAGCAAGCAAATGACACAACGGCTGACTAATCTTAGGAAAAACTTTAATAAACCGCCTATAACATTCAATCCGCCACTGGAGGGCTAACCCATGAAAGCAAATGACACAACGGCTGACACATCTCGATCACGGTTATGCCTCTCTTCTTCGGCACCACATGAATAGGGCTAACCCACTCACTACTTGCCACTGGATAGATCAATCCCTCAGAGAGAAGTTTCAGCATCTCCTTCTTCACTACCTCCATCATATTCGGGTTTAGCCGTCGCTGGCTATCTCGAAACGGCTTGGCTCCCTCCTCCAAGATAATCCGATGCATGCATGTAGATGGACTGACCCCTTTGATGTCTCCCAGGATCCACTCGATTGCTTTCTGATTCTTTCGGAGCATGGCTATCAGCTCTTCTTCTTCTTCACTGTCGAGCTCAACAAAGATTATCACCGGTTTCTGCTGGGCATCATCTAAGAAGACATACTTAAGGTGCTTGGGCAGCTCCTTAAGCTCAAGTATGGCCTCAGTTCGGGAATGACCTTCTCCTACTTCAAAAAGCTCCCCTGTAGGCTCTTCCTCTTCCTCGAAAGCCGACAACGATACTTCCTCGAACTCCTGAAATACCATCTCATCAGTAAAAGGGTCAGCAAGATCAATGAAAGCACATTCCTCTACAAAATTGACTGAGGATGAGGACATCGCCTCTCGGACAGAAATAGACACCGTCTCCCCCAAAACTGTCATATTCAGAGTCCCGTTCTTCACATCGATGAGCGTGTTAGTCGTCGCCATGAAAGGACTCCCGAGAAGGATTGTGTGATCCTTCCCATTCTCGTGCACATCCCCAACGTCTAGAACAACGAAATCCACTGGAATGATAAGCTTACCCACCTTCACGAGCACATCCTCGACTATTGCCTTCGGGTACCTGATGGAATGGTCTGCCAATTGGAGGCACAAGCGAGTCGGCCTCAAATCCCCAAGGCCGAGCCTCTGAAAAATCGAGAAGGGCATGAGATTTATTCCGGCTCCGAGGTCAAGCATCCCCGAAGCTACCTTCCCGTTTCCCAAGGCTATCTGGATAATGAAACCACCGGGGTCACGTTCCTTCTTGGGCAAGTCGTGCTGCATGGCACTTGCCGCCTCGTACACCACCACCTTCTCTCCATCCTCAAACTTCCTCTTCTTGGTCACCAAGTCCTTGAAGAACTTACCATATGATGGCATATTCTTAATCACATCGAGGAGTGGAAAGTTGACATTCACTTTGGAGAGCATGCTGAAAAGATCCCGAAACTGCTTCTCTTGCTTCTCGTTCCTAAGTCGGTCCGGAAAAGGAATACACGGCTTATATGGATTCGGCGACTTATGTAGCACCGGCTCTTCTGTCACCTTCCCTGGCTCTGCTTCCTTGATCTTTTCTGAATGAGTCTCCTGATCTTCGGGCTCGGGCATCTGCACTTTGTTGTCCACTTCCTTCCCGTTTCTGAGTACAGTGATGGCTTTAGCTTGCTCGGGCTGACTAGGCAACTTTCCCTTGTTCACCTTGGACTCAATAGTTCCGACCTGAGCAGCCAGTTGGCCTAACTGTGTCTCAATGCACTTGATGGAGGCATCCTGATTGACATCTCGCTGCTCTCTGTTAGCCATAAACTGAAGGATTTTGGCAACATCGTCTTGAATGTTTGAACTCAACCCTGCTTCCGGTCCCCTCTGCTGCTGCTGTTGTGGCTGGTAGTTCGGACGGGGCACAAAGTTGGGTCGAGGTTGTTGCTGCATGAAATTTGGACGGGGTGGCTGAAGGGTGTTCGAGTTGTTTGACCATGAGAAAGCAGGGTGATTCCTCTACGTGTTTGAATATGGGTCATTGTCTGGCCTGTTTTGGTATCTTTGTAAAGCACTGGCATCCGCATACTGCTCACCGGAGTTCTGCTCA